ACTATGCAAACCTAAAGAAAGTGTCCTAACATCCATATAACAAACATTACGAAAACGAGACAATTCACAACAATACGTGAAAACAAAGAAAAACACAATATATGCACAAGTATGAAAAGTAAACACAAAACATGTACAAGTAAAAATAGACAAATTTATGTACACATTCTATACAACATATATATTTATTACAAAACTGAAAAACACATGAACTTATTGCAATGTGAAAACAATCAACACCAATCCCCGACAACAGCGTCATTTTGTTGTTGTTGTAGAGCGGCAAGCAAAAAGTAAGTTATTAATTTACCGGGTGATATAGGTTATATCGTATCGTGTCCACGAAGATTTGTTATTAAATTATCGTTCGATAAATTATTCGTTAATGAGTTTGAGGATAAATGGATTGAAAGAAAATTTATTTACAGAAATTAAATGTATAAAAAGGAAAAAGGAATAATTTATCAAGCATGCATATGTACCACTTCTCACAGACTTAAACCTATCGACCTGTCATACTCAACCTATAATATTCATCAATGTCACTACGTATCACTCACAACCTAAGTCATTTTTAACCCAAATTGAGAGGCCAACTGCATAACCTCGGTAGTGATCTCTCAACCATCTCAACAACACAAAAGTCAATCATGCTCGCTTGCATCGACAATCTCTCAGAGTGACACAAACAACACAAAGGCATTAAGCTCTGATACTCAAGTAGATGTCAACTCTAAATCTATCTCTAAAGTTCAGAAACTAACAAATAATCATCCTAGATAAGAATCTAAGCAGTATATGTATATAACAACTTAAATCCCTAACACAGAGGAAAAATCTAGGACAACAATCTACAAAGATTCGTAAAGCAAGTTTAATATAACGCCAAGGGCGAAAAATATACATCATTTCAAAGAAAACATACATACAAAACCAACCAATAGAGAATACACAAAGAAAAATAGAAATAAACTGCAAATATACCGGTTTGTCAGCATCAATCGAAGAGCAATCCACCATGAATCATCCATATGCAAGCTCCATAGTTGTTATCTAAGCTAATCCTAACAAAATTGAAGGTTGATGGAGTTGGGAGAAAAAACTTCCCAAAAAACATCCCTAAAAATGAGTTGAAATGAAAGTTATAAAACAAATGTCAGCAGACCGTGCTAAGCGGGCCTGGCACGCTAAGTGCGACTTCCTTATTTTACACGTCAAATGTACCTAAATCACGCTAAGCACGCTATCCGCGCTAAGAGAGCTTCGAAACATTGGTTCTGCCAAATTGTCAAACACATGCAGAACGCTACAAAATGCACTAAGCGGCACTCGCGCTTAGCGGCCTCTGCGCGCTAAGCGGGCTCTCTTGGACAGAATGTCCCAAATCTTGTCTTTTATTCCGGAAACGCACATCCGAAGCCGTTCCTTCAACACCTTATTCCTCAATGCTCCAAAATGCAACAAATACCTACAAAATGAATGGAAAAACATCAAATGATACACTATGTACAAAAAAACACAAATAAACACAAACTAAATGTATTTACACAAAACTCGGGTTTATTCAACGATATTAACAATAAAAAGTCGATAAGTGCAACAAAAAGTATATACAAAAATAACTATAATTTTCACTTATCACCTAGATACTAGGCTTTTTACCTTATAGTAACATCTCACCCACCAAAGAAAACACAAAAAATCCATTATCTAGCTTAGTAGGAATATTCAATCATATGAAAAGCAATAACAATTTAATGTGTGCAATAAATAAATAGAAAGTAAAGCACATAGATAAACACCCAAAGAAAAAGAACAAACAAAGCTACTATTGGCCCACTTAGGAAAGAGTCCCTAGTGAATTCGCCAATTTTTTTATAGCGGTTAAAAGTTGAGACTAAGTTGATTGACTTAACTCACAAAGTGAAAGTAGCCACTGCACTTTATTTTTTCCAAGAGGAAATGGGAAAATAGCGAATAAAACCCAAAAAAGAATAGAGATCAAGATATGGGGGTCGGTTATGCAAATGAAGGTTTTAGAACCCTACACATCTGTTGTACTCAACAGGATCCATTATGTTTGTTCTAATCAAAGGGTATGTTATCTAAAGCTTAAAATTACTAAAGGGAATGCTTGGATGAATCATTAACAAAAAAAAAATAAAGTTTTCATTATTGCACCGCTCGAATTTTTCAACTCGTGCCTACGTATTCTCATGGTGCAATAAGGAAACCAGAGTACCATAGTTCTTCTAAAAAAAATTGGTTTATTTTGTATTTTTTTAATGAAAAATGTTAAATTTCACAATCTATTGCAGCTCGACCTTTGGAGACTCACGCACTTGTTATAGAAATGAATTAATATGTTGTTTATGAAAAGGTTTTCAAAGAAAAAAGGCTTGAAGGCAAAAAAAAAGTTTTGAATTGGTTGAGTATTTTTGTTAGGATAATAACAAATGGATCCCGTTGGAGGGGAACTTACCAATTCTCTGCTTATTTGCAAAAGGGTTTGTGATTTGAACCACATTAAAGACTATAATTGAAAGTAAACACAAGGTTGAGAATGTACCACCTCATACTTCTCCCAATACTTAAGGCTTATGATGTATGGTTCACCTCTTTATTGTTAAGATGTTTTTGAATTTTTATTAAGAAAAGGTTTTAGTTTTAAAGATGAAAAAGGGGAAAGAAAAAAGTCTATGGGAAACTTAATGTCCTAATATTATCATGCAATAGGGGAAGCTACCTAATGTTAGCATGTGAGATGGACTTCAATCCTAGGGTCTACTTCAGTTCAACCTTGAGCAAGAATGAACAAAATAAATCTTATGGGGAACATGTGATCTCATAAGAAAAGAAGTAAAGGAGAAGAGGAGAAAAGCAATCACACACTTGAACAAGATATGAGAACCAACAAACATCATATGAGAAGTAATTAAATGGACATGTCATGAGAATACATCAATCAAACCTAAGTTACTGCCCTTAACATGTTATAGGTCTAACTCTACCCTAAACAAGGCATCAAGGGTCAAAAAGAAGAGAAAATAACCTAACTAGGAAAGTAGAGGAGGTAAACAATCAAAAGAAGAAAACACGTCAATATTTCTACTTAAACAAAGAAACTAAACAAGAATATACAAGAGGTAGATACCTAAGTCTAAACATGCTTTAAGATATCTCATCACATCACCAAAAGGTCAAACTATGCATGGTAAGGAGAGACAAAGCTCAAACAAGTTGCAAACGTTAGCTCAAAGCCTAAGCATGCATCAACCACTTATAAGGCAGAAACTTTACATAAAATTAGACATCAAGACATGTCAAACAAACCCTAGGGATCATGTATAACTGATATGGACATAAGGACCACAAGATAAAACAAACAAACAAGCACACTAGCATGCAAAGCTATATGTGTCAAGTGCTTAACCTAACATGGAATAAGAAGGTGAAATAAGTGAAATACATTCAAAAGCATACAAATCAGTAGCAAGGGCTTAAGGAACTCATCATAATTATACATTCAAACTTGGAAGACCCTATTCTTCCCAAGCTAAAGATACACTCTATATTCCATTTTGGGTGTCTAAAGCCATACCATCCAGACATGGAAGACCCTAAAGAGGCGATGCCATTGACAAGGATGATGAATTCCTTATCTTCGGTCATAGGGTGCAAGCGAAGGAAGACGGGAAAGTCAGGGAGGGAGTAAAGGTGCGGAGTTAAGACTGAGCACTTCTTTGAATTGAGAAGAGGTGCTTACCCGTAAGCCTAAAGCTAAAGGAAAGAGAAATAGATCAAGCTAGGGATGCGCGTGAATTGAATATATATCACTCGTACCCAAGGTGGGTAGGAAAAAGCTATTGTGATTGATAACATCTTTAAAGGGGGAGCTCATGTCCCTTGCTATTGCGGTCACATAAAGGTTAAGAGAGAGGGGATGCTTCATTCGATCTTAGTCTTTGTGGTTTACATCAAACATTTCTGGGGAAGTGCCATCCCCGATTTCTATTCTAGTTAGAGGATGACCCTTAAGTAGGGAAAGCCCTTAAAGCAAAATAATCATCCACAAATTTCAGACTGGCTAACTCCTTCTTCCCTTTCCCTATAAGAAGAACATTCATGAAATGTCTCATTCATCATAGAACGGATGGGAGGCATCGAAGATGCACTATCAGACTATCGGTTTTGATCTACTCTACTTACTTTTCTGAGCTACTTTTCCTTCCCTAAAAAAATGTTAAATCTCAAGAAAAGAAATGAAGTTTGCGATACTTTAAAGCGTTACGGTAGTACATCTAGCAAAGAAATAGTAAGATTAAGATAAGATCCTCTAACTAGAATTCGATTACACATGAGCTGCCAAGGAGCTGACTCAAAGCTTGATACGATTTGACTGGCTTAGGGAATAAGCGATGCCATCAATTTAGTTGTTGGAGTACGGGTATTAGTAGTAGTAGTAGAATAACTAGAGCGAAGGCCATGGCATTAAATGCTCTTTTGAATGAAGAAGTTGCAATTGGAATGCTTTTGCTTTCAATGGCCAGAAGAGAAGGGAATAGTGAATACCTGGTTAGGGGATTACTGGCCTAACTTCCCTTTTTGTATATTTCGCATATCCGAGTTCTCTCTCTCTCTCTCTCTCTCTCTCTCTCTCTCTCTCTCTCTCTCTCTTAATCAATCAATCAATAAATCAATAAATCAATCGGGCATGTTGATTCAGCGTAAATGGTGATAATTTTTGTAGCGTTTGAACGGGGTTCATTTATAAAAGTTGGGGAAGGAGCTGCTAGTGTTTTCGAAAACTCGTCTATTTGAATTGACACTTCTATTATCTATATCTAGATCCATGCCAAGAAAATAATAAGTGAGAATAAGCATCAAGATTAAGCATACAAATCTAATAGTTCATGAGCTAAGAGATTGGCAATAAGAATACAGAGGTGCCTAGCTTTTTAACAGCAACAAATTGGCATATTTCTATTTCTATTCTTATCTTAGGAATCCCGACATTCCTTCTTCTTGATAGCATAGAGGCGAATAAATACCGAGGAAAGAAGATAAGAAAATTTTATCCAACGCCAAGATAATAAGTGTTCTGTGGAGGAAGGTAGCCAGACATAGAGGTGTGTATTTGCCTTGGAAGTTTTAATGCCCAATGGTGGATCCTTTGACGAGTTGAAAGAAAGTTGAAAAAAGGGCTCCCGCAAGGGATGAAGAATATGTGACAAATGCCACAGGAGGAAAAAATAATAGGCATCGAGCTGAGAAGAGGCCGCAAGCACATTCTTTGATGCATCCAATGCAAATGTTTTCGCCTTACCCGCAGATTCCTGTCTTTTGCTCATATTGCTTACTATAAATTAGTATGGGATTTCAGCTTTTTACTTATTTACTTCTACTTGAACCGTTCAACGGATTAAAAAAACCTGGCTCAACACTAATTAACTTATGGGGTCTCACATACCCTCAAGACAAGAACTGGAGCAATCAGGCGTTTAAAGTAAATTTCCCCTCCCCCCACACTCTAAGTAGCTCTAAGGCCAAATATCGGCATGTAACTAAGAAAGATGGGATTCGGCCAACAAACAAAGGAAATTAAAGCACACCCTTCTTTCTTTTGACAATGATGAAAACTAAAAAGTCAAGCCTTTCACTTCATTTTTCAAGCTTTTGAACATGGGTTGAGTTCATACATTATGAATGCTTTCCTAAAAAAGACAGACTACCAATTTTCTATGAAGCTCCTATCGAAGCTGGCTTGCTTCTTTTGTTTACCCTTACTAGGAGGGATATTCTTATTAGAAGAATAAATTTATAAGAGTTATTATAAATTTTAACCTTTAATTTTTATTAATTTAACGATATTAATTGTTTCTAAATATAAATAGAATAAATGATTAATTAAAGCGGTTAGATTAATGAAAATCAAGAATTAAAATTTAAAGTAATTAGAAAATCATTCTCACTTTATTTACTTTCACTCCCTCCGATTAAACAAAATAAATAGAAAATCATTCTTACTTTTATGCCTTCAACATTTAGTGTTACTTTCTCTATAAAAAAATTACACATGATCAAAACAAGGAGAATTGCCAACGTTACGACACGGTGGAGGAGGTGGATTGGGAAAGTTTCCTAGATTTCTGATCTTCGTATCTACAAAATGAATTATACACAGTATTATAACCATTTTAAAATAAGTTGTAAGATTAAATTAATTTTCTAATTAAATGTTATTACGTACAATAATGAGACTTGCTTGGGTGGTAATCAAAGTATAAATGCAATAGAGAAGAATAATAGATTTAAATAATCTTTTGATTCTAATAAGTTGACATGTTTTAATTTTTTTTTATATATGTTTTTCTTTTTTGAAATAAAATCTTCAAAGGTTGAATTTCATTTATTTTAATCTTTAAACTTAAAATTTACGGATTTATTATAGATTTTTTTTTAAAATTTTCTTTTACATTTAAGATTTATTTTCAAAATAAAAAAAAATACATATATGAAAATCAAACACGCCAACTTATCAAAATCAAAAACTATTTAAACCGGAATAATATTATACACAATGACACAAACCAATTGATTAGTTCTATACCCCTTTTTGATTAAAAAAAAGTTCCATACCCATCCGTCTAAAATTAATTGGTTATGTTTGTGAAGATCTTTAAAAAAATCAATAATAAAGTATATTTAAACATATTGTTTTTGTTTTTATTATAAGTGGTTTTTAAACTTTAATAAATATTAAAAAAAGTTATTATTGTATAAAAAGAAAGATTATAAAAGATTTAATAATTAGCCTTTATAATATAGTACGCAAGAGATTACTTAAAATAAAAAGAAAAAAATATTAAATATTTAAGGGTTTAATAAAAATATTAATATTAATGATTTATTGAGAATGTAAAGTGATTTATAAATTATTTTTTTCAAAATGACATATAATAAAATAAGTAAATAATTATTTATTACAAAGTAGACTAAGCGACATGCTTATAATTTAGAGGGTATTCATTGATATTGAGTAGACATTATTAATATTATAAAATATTTATTGATATTGGAAAACAATTGTCTCTTTGACCTCAATAATTTTTAAATACAATATATTTTTCTTATTAAAAAATAAAAACTCAGGAATATACTATTTTTATCGACTATATTATGTATCGCAGAAGAATATGAACCATATTATTTTATTTTATCTATTCTTATTAATAAATTTTTTACGTGAGTTGTACAATAATTTTATATGATTTATGATAATATAAATTTATTTATTTTCAAATGTAAATTATATTTTTTTGCAAGTAGCTATATTTTGAAACATAATTATGTATTCTAAAAAAAATAAAATTTATTATTTTAAATTCTCTTTGAACCTCTATATATGTTAAGTTGGTCCAGTGCAATGGTTACTAGTATGAAAGAAATTTAAAAAATTGTATTAATATTTTAAAATAACGATTATTTGAAATAAAAATAAATTTAATAATGTTTAAAAAAATAGAGTATCATATTTAATATTCATTAATATAATTTATTAGTGCTTCAAATTTAAATTATATTATTTACACACAAAAAATAAAATTACACACAGACCTGCACTAGTTGTAGCCAGCTGCATGAACAAAGTAACAGTGACTATCATTAAAATGAATAAACGTAAAGAAAGAGAATTAGCTAAGTTGAAGATATAAGCCATCTCTGAATATTGAAATCAACTTAAGCTTTTTTTTGCTGTTGATGAAGGGAAGGAAGCAATGTGATTTTGAAATTAATAGCATCATCCTAATTCATAGAAATTTCCTTGGAACCTTCATAGAAATTTCGTACAGAAAATGACAGCAATTATTTACATGACAAATACTATATTCTATAGCTCTCATCCTAATAATGCATTATTAAATTCTATCATCACATGATAATATCACACCTTGCGAAGACAAAATAGATGTAATATTAATATAATGCTAGGATGACATAAAATTACAACAACAGCACCCTATTTAAATACGGTTAGATGTACCATTTGTTTCTTTAATAATTTTTTATTTTTGTGTCACACTTAAATACTTTGAAAAAGTTACGGTGTAAATACGGTGCAGAGTAATTCAACCTCAACATAGGAATATTTTTTTTTTTAATAACAGATGTTGAAATTTTTTTTCTAAAATAATTATATTTCAGAAAAAATTACGCAAATAATCATGTTTCAGAAAATCCTACAAAAGAGGAGTCAAGTGAGATGGCGCATGCACGGACCCATTTACCCTATGCGTCATCTCACTTGACGCATGCACTCTCTTTTAGTCAAGTGAGATGGCGCATGCACTCTAAAAGTGAGAGGATGCGTCATCTCACTTGGCTCATAGGACAAAATGCATTTTTATAAATAAGTCATTCGTTTCTCCGTCATTCTTCACACTTTCTCACACTGTCTTCTTATTTTTTTCTCTGTTATTTGCGTCATGACATCTTCCATGATTTTTTTTATCAGAGATGGTTACGTTATTTTCTCGGCCACCAAACCTTCGATGAAAATGAAATTTTGGCACATTCACTTCATGGAGCGTCTGAAGAGAGAGTTGATGTGATGGCTAGAGGGAGACATCGAGGATGGAGAAAAAATTAGAAGGATCCAGCGAAGAAGAACAGCCACTTCACTTGCAACAGGAAGACCTAATTTTTGGTTGGAGGAAGTCAAAATAGACAGCGACGTAATGCTGATGATGCATGAGTTAGATGGAATTGTTTTAACGGTTGTAATTTCGTAGACGTTTTATCGTGTTTTATTTGTTGTTTGCGCAAGGTTTGTTGTAACAAATGCTCTTAATGAAAAACCGTAATGTTTATAACTTCAAAAAGTAAAGATGTTTTATAATACAATTTTTATGTGGTTGAGCTAGTAGCCCGAGTCGGACAATTTTTGCGGTTTTGTCCGACCTGACGACATAAACCACACTTTCTTTCCAGCTTGTCAAGGGAGTCCATTTCAGTTGTGATGCGCCTGCTTTTGGGACGACCCTTTTTATTCCTTCGCATTTGGTCATTGTACCATACTATTTCGCCGTCGTATGCAGGCCAATAATAAGGTTTTGCTACCAAAGGGAAGTTATTGTTGTATACGTTGAGCAAGATTTCAGACTTGTAAATGGGAGACAGAAGTTGTAATGCGTCTTGATGAGTATAGGCATACGCAACAATGACATGAGAGCAAGGCATACGAAAGGCTTGAAACTTGCCACAATCGCACCAACAAGAAGGTGGTATAACCCTATACTCTTGTCTTGGCAGCCTCTCGTTGTGGTCGATTGTCTCTTTGACAATGAAGTTGTGACTGTGTCGGTCGAACTGTATAACCAGATGAGTGTTGGCTTTGACACTTTCTTCCTTAATATACTTCATGCAGCTTTCACTCCATAGTTGTCCCGATTGCAACACAACATTCCATATTTCACCCCTTTTGGAAAACAATGAAGCCATCCTAAAATATGTTGATTTAACCAAAGCAGTTATGGGAGGTTTCGTATGCCTTTGAATACCCCGTTCATGGTTTCAATCAGATTTGTTGTCATAGGGCCCCATCGTTGTCCATTGTCGTATGACCTAGTCGATTTCTCAACGGGAATGTTATCGATCCACCTACCTGCGTCCGAATTTGACAATCGGATCTTGTTGCGATAATATTTGAACATAGGTTGTGTTAATGCATACCCTGCATTCATAACCTCTTTCCTAAGAGCTTTGTCTTTGATCTCCCTCGTGAAATTTTGGACGATATGTCTAATGCAGTAGACATGCGTAGAAGGAGGATCATGCCAACCGGTTGCAGGATTGTTATATGCACTCTCAATAGATGCATGTCTATCAGAGATCAAACATAGATATGGTTGAGGATCCACGTGTGTTCATAGATTCTTGAGAAAGAAGCTCCAAGCACCACCAGTCTCTCCCTGGACTAGGGAAAAGACAATTGGGAAAATGTTGTTATTTCCATCTTGTGCAACTGCCATCAGTAGCGTGCCTTTGTATTTCCCATACAACCAAGTCCCATAAATTTGAATAATTGGTTTGTATGACGTAAACCCTGTGATGCAAGGTTGAAAAGCCCAGAACACTCGACTGAATATTTCATTTCAGGTTACTTGACTACCATCTAGGGCGTACGTCGACAGTGTTTCTATAATGTAAACAGTACCCGGAGAATAAGTTTGAAGTGCATTCAAGTAGCGAGGAAGTTCTTTGTATGACTCCTCCCAGTTTCCATATACCTTTTCAATCGCCTTGGTCTTTACTAACTACGCCTTTAGATATGACGGAGTATAGTTAAATACCGTAGTGATGTGAGAGATTATGGTTTTCACCTTCAATGATGGATCATTGCTGACGAGGGGTAGGATTTCTTGACATATGAGATCATAATTTAGTTTTCGATGATCATGTGATTGAGTAGAATTGACACACGTGTGGGTGGACATAGAACCTATGACCCAACAATCACCTCTTAATCTGTATGATGCAGTGAGCTTGAACATACAATCTGGATGGATACACTTGATCTTGTACCTTTCTGGATTTACATGATCTACCTTAAAATCGACCGAGTTGAGCATGTGAAACTTTTTTATGGTCTATTACGAAATTTGTATTTCTCTTTTTAGTTTTCATTCGACTGCATATACAGATTGAAAAATAAATCAAATGACGGTTCATCTCCGCCCATGTTGAAACTCAACCTTATAAAATATTATTTGGTCGTTACCAAAAAAAAAAAAAACAGATTCTGATAAAAGATTTGTGTCACGGTACCTCTTCTAAGTTTAGCCTCCAATCATTTTTTGAAATACAAGAAATTGGCTTTCCTGTTTAAACAAAATCGGATGTTCTCAGTGTCTCTAAACAAAAACCCAGAGGTGGGACAAATGTATGTCTCACCGTTGAAATGTGCATTGATCACATATTATGGTGTAGAGGCCATTGTTTTTGAATTTTTGAAGGTTTGGAGGTTTGAGTGTTTGGAGGTTTAAGTGTTTGAGTCTTTGAGTGTTTGAGCGATTGAGTGCAGAAGTGTTTTGGTAAATGTAGGATTAAATAGGTTGTATTGAAATTGAATAAAATAATAGTAATCAACCTCTAATTCGCCAACTGGAATGTCCAATCGTATTATATGCATGCAAATATGCCTTCCCCAAGGCTGCCACCTTGCCTGCACCTACACTGCAACCCATGCCACCTCTAATTCGCCAACAGGGATGGCGACACCTTTCAATTTTGTACCCATCTATACAGTTCCTTGTGTAAAAATGCAATCAAGGAAAATGTACTTTTTATGGATGCGCTTTTTTACTTCAAGCCTGGGGTTGGTGGAGAATGGAGTCCCTAAACCCCGTCAACAACAACACATTCGTTTTCTCATACGCAATAAAGTAAGTCAATAACTTATATCATTTATTATTATTCATCTCTTCACCAAATATATGATAAAAATAAAATATTTTTCAATTCCTTTAGGTACTGCGTGGGGGATATGGATTACGGCAAGAATCCAAGATTCAATGTCGCTCTATATCGTAATCTATTGAATCACCTTGGCCCGAATGATGCACGTCACACCTTTCAACTTTTCTACTTTTAAATTATTTATTTATTATGTTTTCATTAAGCTGATTTAATTTTATCCGCAGTTTATCTGGAGACCATATTTGGGTTTGGACCATGAACCAAACTCCGAGGATACAACAATTTAGAGCGCAAAGACTGCAATCATACGGTTCAATGTTATGGATATACACCACATCGACCGTGTCAAGATGCAGTTTGAAATGCATCAAGAGATACCCCGTGATCCAACTTGTTTGTCCCCGTGGCATCTCAAAAGGGTCGACGCCCAATGGGATCTTACCAACTGGAAAGATTTTTCTCCAGAATGGTGTAAGATGTGGCAGAGGCGTCACCAACATGTCTTGCAATTCCCAGTTTTCCTCAACCATGGTTATATGCGACACACGGATCAATATTTAGCTTGGTACAGATCGATTAGTAACCCAGAAATGAACGTGTCTCATCCAAGGTATTTGGTTCACCCACGAACACAATGGCCACAACCCTCATTTCCCCAAAAACAAACCTAACACACATCAACCTTCCACCAACCTTCCACCAACCTCCCCGGTGAAACGGAACCCCACCCACCACCAAGACGACCAAACTTTGAGGGTATGGGTAATCGATTGTATCAAAGAGGATCTTCTAGATATGAAGATATGACTGATTTCATGGATCCATAACGCATTGATTTTGTTGGGCCATCGACCCTGCCACAACAGGAAACACGATGAAACCCACTACGGGAAAGGCGAGGAGGACACAGATGCGGAACCGTGGGTCGTTACTGGGTTCCAGGGGACCACTGATTATTTTGTATTTTTTATATAATCGTTTTGTGTAATCGTATTGTGTAAATAAAAATTCAAATTTTTATGATTCTATATCGTGTACGTAACGTCCCACATTTAAAATAAAAAACGCAAAAAATCGTCTCCCCATTGCACTAAGGCGCCATCTCACTTGGCTTAGGGAACACATTTAACACCTAGGATCCAAGTGAGATGGCGCCTCCCCTTTAAAATAAGGTGTAGGCGCCAATTGAGATGACTTTTCCATTGTGGGGTTTTCTGAAACATGGTTATTTGCGGGAAAAAT